GCTCAAGTACTAGCAAAAATCTTGTGTGAAATGGATGATGACCTAGAATGGCACTGCTTGGGTATATCACTGGGATTCATTAAGAGTGGATATTGATTAGAAGTCAGTCTGTTACTGATTTGCAAGAAAAAAATTATTTTGTTGCTGCTGGTCTGTATTTGCAAATGAGTGCACTCAAAGGGGAAGATTAGAGCCTGTTCCTACCTGTTGGCAAAACACATGAAAAATTACATATTTCTTGGCATCTTTTATCCAGCACATGAAAAAGAAGAAATGAATGAGAACTGAGATTAAGATATATGAAAGTATGATAGTAATTTATTTTGTGAAGTACATATGTATAGTCTGACATTCTTAAAAATCAAGATCTGTGGTACTGCTCATCATTTATGCCACTGGAAAATGTATATCATTTTCAGTAGTTTGACTGTGTAGCTTTGTGATGTCAAGCATGAGATCTTGAAGGTGTCTGTTCTACATTTCATACAGAATTTTCAAAACTGCTTAACTTCACATAGATTGGAGGCTTAATTCAACTTTTTAAGAAATGGCAGACAAACTCAAGAGCAGGGTTGTGAAAGATACCTGAAGTAGCCTGGAGATGGGAAAGAGTCTATTCTCAAATAAGGCAGTGATGGAAATACAATAGATTTGGTACGCTATCCAGCCAATAGGAATTATTAATAAAAGCCAGTATGAAACTCTGTCAGAAAAGGAAAGCAATGTAATGATCATAGCAAAAATAGTGAAGATGTTTGCAACACATCTTTGGTGTTGTGAATAAGTACCTATGTGCACATGTCAAAATCAACTCTTGGCAGTTAAAGCAATACTATTTTCCTCCAGATCTGCAGCTAACTTTTCAGAGGTATCCAGGACAATAGGGTACAGGGAAACTCCCTTGACAAATAGAACTGTGAAAGTGGCTTGCATCACTGTGTGTGCTGCACCACTTTCTGCTTTAGATGATTTTCTGTGTGACTTCTTGATAGACTAATGTTACCCTTCTTCCTAGCTCAGTGCCCAGCACATTAAATAACTGAAGTTCCCAGATTTATCCTGCTTTGATTTTGAGATGAATGCTGGCACAAAAAAAGATAAATCTGGTTGTGATTCAGAATCATTCTAATTCATATGAAAACACAGATAAGTCAAAAGGCACCTACAGCTTTTTATTTGGTTTGGGTTTCTGTTGTCTTGGGTTTTTTTTTCAGGGGGTAGTGGTGCACGGGTTGTTCCCTGGTTTTGTGCCATGACATGTATGGATGATGACAGATCCTTACATTTCTGTGGTAGCCAAAGGGAAGTCCAGGCACAGAGGCATTCCTTAACTCCATTTTTTTTTTTTAACCTGTTTCCTTTCTCTACCATACATTTTTTTGCCTATGTAAGTAAATGTGTTTTGTGATTCACTGAAGGGTAACTCATTCTGTCTGCTGTCAGGAAACAAATATGTATCTCTAGCAATGTAGGCTTAGCAGGATCGGAAGGTTTCTAAGGGTGGAGAAGAGGACAATGTAAAAATCTCTGCCTTCACACGTTCCTGAAAAAGTGGAGCTAAGTAGGTGTATACCTTATAAGTGTGTGTGTTCTTTGGCACTACTGTCATAGGTGGTGATCTCCCTGTACCAGACACAGTTCTTTTCAAAAGAAATTTATGTAGTCTGAGTGGGTATGAACATATAGTTGACTTGCAGAGGAACAGGGATATTGGTCATCATGCTACTCGGCAGTGAGTTCATCCCCCAGTCAACATTTTCATGTGGTATTCTGGCAAAAGGAGGTTTTATGGGCTGAAAAAAAACAACTTTCATTAAAAGTTTATAGTAAGTCTTACCTGGCATCAGGAAACCATGGGAGAAAGCACTGATGGAATTTTGAGTGTGGTTAGGAGGTGAAGGGGTATATATTTATATTCAAGGCAATATAAAGAAGCTACCGATCTTTCAGTTGTTCACAGTAGTAGTTTGGGTAGGAATAGGCTGAAGTGAGCACTTGAAGGTGTTGACAAGTATCATATAGTTACTGAGGTAGTAAAAGGATGTGTTGTGGGGCCAGGCAAGGAAAGGAGAAGTGGTCTTTATGCGAGCATTCCAAAGGAAACATGAATTAAACATGCCATTCTTTAGCCAGTGAGATATTACAGTGGGTGAATTAGTGCACAGTAGTGACAACTAACCAACTTTGGTTGGTCAAACCGAAGAAAAAGAATGGCTATGTACTTGGAGAGCAACGTTTGTCAAGATACTGCACTTCAAGTAATGTAAGACCAACTGGCCTATAATGTGAAAGCCTGGATTTTTCTGGGCCTACAAATTGTTTCCCAAATATGCTCCCTGTTTTTTTTTTTTTTTGTGTGAGGTGATTCTGAAGCTTTTCTAGTCAACAGTATTGTAATTACTTATCTTTACCTTTGAAATCTCTAAATTTGCCACCATTAGGTATTTGAAATAAAAAGGCTAGAAAGTCAAACTTTAGTGGAACTGAATCACTGTTAGTTTCTGGTTGAAACAATCAGCTAGCTTCATCTTGAATGGCAGCTAGGTTTTAATTGGCTCCTAAGAGCTAATGTCATTTTCAGACAGAAATTTTAAGTTCAGAAGAAAAATATGTTAATACCAAATGTGTAGTATCCCACAAGAGTTTCACAAGCTTGAAGAAGATGGCCTCTCCCAGTTGTAAGCAGTTTCTAATCTTGCTATATACTAGAATAAACTGAGATGCTTAATAAAGTCTACAAACTCTTACAACATCCACCATACTGATATCAGTATGAGATCAGTAGACATCTTTGATTCATATATGTGATACTTTCTACTTTAAAAGTCATTAAGATATCCATGTTGTATTTTGGTTCTGCTGTTAAGTAGAATAGAGGTTGGCTGGGAAATTGATAGTTGGCATAAACAGCTCCTACATGTACTTAAAGCTTTACTTACAAGAGTGAAACAGATTCAGCAGCTGAGGACAGGGGTCAAGTTTGGATAGCGCTTAAGGTGACCTTGAAAAGCCTTTGGTCCCAGATTGTTTTTCAGAAAGGTGGAAATAGTCTTTGGAAGATACTCTTTTGGAAATGTAATAGTTATAAAAACAGCAGCAGTCATGGTAGGGAGGGTGGGGGAAGACATGCAGGACAGGTTTTTCTACATGCTGGTATTTCATTTAACACCTCAGGCAGTGATAATCAATGACAGCTCCTTCTCTTCTGGAGCATGTGTGGTACTGGTCTTATAATGCCTCTTTAGGGACAACAATATGAAGTTATTGTGAATGGTGGAAACTACCAGGAGGCTTGGAAACTGCTTTATCCTCTCAGTTCTGGATTTTCCTTTACAGAAAACCACTGAGAAATCTGAAAGAGAAAATGGAGAACATTTGGAGAATAGGAAAGGTGGCCAGAAAATGGGAGACTTGAAAAAGAGCTTGAAGGGATCAAATATGATATAGCATAAACCATGAAGAGGGTGCCAAAGTGGTCCCTGAATTATTTATGGTCAGGGAGATGAGAAAGTTGGGCCAGTGTGGAAGGAAGTAGAAACTATTTGAAGTTTGTTGGTATTGTATAGCACTTGGAGGAACCATTGTTTGTGGTGTTTTGAACTAGTTTTAGGCATTAGGAAGAAGTAATTATTTGGCAGAAGGATGCTCTAAATAGATCACCTTTGCCAGGATCCAGTTAGAGCATACGTCACTGATTGCTGATGACTGCATTGCAGGGACCTGCCTTCTCCAGGCAGCGTGTCCATAGCAAAACCAGGCATCTGCTTTTGCCTCGGGGAATATTTTGATCATTGTCAAATATGCCATTTAGGCATTGTATGTAGTTGAGGTCAAAACCTTGGTTTGTCTTGCACCATTTTTAATTGTCTTTTTCAACCTGAACGTGTAGCCCAGTTTTCAGGCATCTTTCTGGCTGGCTTCCTATATACATCCGTATGGTACAGCTGTTTCCAGTTTCTTCCCATTTCAAATTACTTTTTAGCAAGTCCTTAGTAAAATCACTAGCACTACTGTCGGTAGCTTCAGTTCTGTGCTGAAACATGAGATGATGGTGTTAGACTGCTGGGACTGAAATACTTCTGTATTTTGTGACCACCTATTGCTATCTTAGCTTGCTTTAACCTATGCTGTTCACCTTCAAAATGTGCTTTTCATAAGTAATGCATGCCTTTCAGCAAAATTCTGCAAAGTGAAAGAAATAAGATTGTATATTTTGTGTTTATATATATTTTATATATAAAATTAGCATTCATCTGTTTTCTTATTTTCTCCTGTTTTCTGTTTTTAGAATCAGTTTTCAGTTGAAAATCCTTGAATTTTTTTCATTAAAACACATAAACCTTCAATCAAAACAACAAACCAAAAAACCCCAAGGTTTGGAAACAGGTAGCCGAAAGAAACATGTCCTCTGTTAGCACACTGAAAATGCCTTAACATGTCATTTTTTCTAACAGCATTATAATTTTCTAGAATGTAATGGAAGTGAAATCTGTAGAGTTGCTTAAAATAGATGAGCTCCCCTTTTCCACCCACCTACACACACTCAACTTTTTGCAGGGAGTAAGAATCCTGGAGTAGGCAGGAAGGTGGCTTCAGACAGGCGATTGATGTGCATGGTACTGACCATTCTGGCTTTGTCCTAGCAAAACCACTTAGGCCCATGCTTAACCTAAATCATGCTAGAGGTTCTGCTACTGTGAAACAGAATGATTAGCATATTTAATACTCTTTTGGCTTATTCTCTGAGTCCTCAGTACTCTTCACGGTCAAATTTCATGTATTTAGTATATTCTTGCAGAGCAGGAGTGACCATTAATGCTAACTAACGATAAAGTGTAAAACTTAAGACCAGTTTCTTTTTTGTGTGGCTGGGAGGGAGAACAAATATATTGGTATAAATTGGTGAAGCTGATGTAGTTGCATTGGCGTAATTTCAGAATTTGGCATGGGGTGGAGATGCAAGTAAAGCTGTATTGTACTTCTGTGGTTTTGATTCACAGAGGTTTGTGCGAACTTAGGTAGCTGGTGCACACATGGGACATCATCAAAGAGCCCAACCAGAAAGTCAGAGCTTGGATTTGGAATGCCATACACCTATACATTTAGAAGCATGTTGTTATAGTGAGGCAAGCAAAGCATCTTTTCATTAAAACAGGTAACTACAGTTTACTTTCAAAGTTTATTTTTATATATTACAATCTGCAATGTAGTAAATTAAATGTTTTTTAGAGATTTGGTATTTTCATTATCTTCAATGTTTATACTGCTTGCAAAGGACTGGAAGGGTCCTCCTGTAACTTGCTGAGTTCACCCTATCACTACTACTGGCATAACAAAATACTTTTTTATAAGCTAGTCTTTTTTTTCACTTGGGAGACTGTTCTAGACCCTCACTTAGCCAACACCAAAGTACTTAAAAAGAAATAACTTGGAGAAAAATTTTAGTCTAAATCTGTTCTTAACTAGTTTTTCCTTAATTTTTAGTGTGCAAGGATTGTCTTTAGATTAAACAGTCTCTTCCTCCTACTGTTTTCTTCCCTGTTCACAGATTGTTTTGCTAGGATAAACAAATCATTCTTAGGTTCCTATTACAACATAGCAGCTTCATTCCCCTGAACAACACAAAAATTACTTTGTCTGCAGCTCTTGTAGTTGAATTTGACCTGGGTGGTTTTTTTTGCCCTTTTTTAGTGTGATGAAGACAACTATATGCTACTGGAAGTATCTCTAAGAAGTTAAGAAATTAATTGAGAAATAAACCTGATAATTTGCTTTTTTCTATTTGAATCACATTAGGAGCTCAGATTCCTTAAGCAGATGCAGTGAAGTCTTGCCTTTCTTCTGAGTTTAGAGCTGAAGTCTCTGTTATTAGAAGCATGATCTTATGTTTTGTATTATTGAATTTTATACATTTCTATTAACGCAGTCCTTGAAGTTGAGCAACTCTTTCTGTAGAATATTCTTATCCTTGTCAGTTTTGGCAGTACCCTCCAGTTTTATTTCATAAGGAAAATTCTTCAGCATGTTGCCTTGTGCCAAAATAATTAATGAAAACGTTAAACAAAGCCTCTCCCAAAACATATCACAGAAGAGCTTTCCTTGAGCCTGTGCTTCCTTGTACAAAAATTAATCTGTTCCTTAGGTTTTCTAACATTTTATCAAATACATGCATGCTGAAACAAAAAAAAAAAATGGCTGTTTTATAGAGCAATTTGACAATCCTTATTTGTGTCAATTGTCTTACTAGATTCATTTGAATAAAGCTTGCAGAATCCATTTTATAATCTCCATTCCTAGCCGAATGAAATCTTTCTTGAAATGCAGCTCTTTGGTAACAATTAAAATTAACTTTTTTCCTAAACAAAATAAATACTTTTAAAATTAATTATAATGGCATGTCACTTTCTCATGCATACCATTTTTTATCTATTTCTATATGAAAGTAATAACTTGTATTGGAATTCATTAAAATCTTTTGGTAAAACCCATGATTTGTCAGCCTACTATGTGCTTAATTCAACTGCAGGGTTCTGTTCCTTAATAAGAGCAAGAAATGTGATTATTAGTAAGTAAGCATGGTCAGATAAAGAGCGTGAACAGCATTATCCCCAACAGAAGTGAATCAGTTCTGTAACAGGAGATGGATCTGGGTAACCATCACTTTATCATGTGACAGTTGCTGTCCTCTTTGGCAGTCTCTCAGAAGAGCCGCAGTACAACATCTAAAGTTAGAAATGATGTAAGGCTGGTAGTAACGAGGGCCAGCATGCATCTACTAAGGTAGACTTCTGAATTGTGCAACACAGCTGCCTTTATACATGAGAATCGATTACTGAAAACCTTTCAAGGTGGTCAAAATGTGACATTAAATAATTGAGTATCACATCATAGAATCAGAATAGTTAGGGTTGGAAAGGACCTTAAGATCATCTAGTTCCAACCCCCCTGCCATGGGCAGGGCATCACGCACTAAACCATGTTGCACAAGACTCCATGCAACCTGGCCTTAAATACTGCCAGGGATGGAGCAGTCATGACTTCCCTGGGCAACCCATTCCAGTGCCTAACCACCCTAACAGGAAAGAACTTCTTCCTTATATCTAACCTAAAGTCCACCTGTTTAAGTCTGAACCTATTACCCCTTGTCCTATCACTGCAGTTCCTAATGAAGTGTCCCTCTCCAGCATCCTTATAGGCCCCCTTCAAATACTGGAAGGCTGCTATGAGGACTCCACTCAGCCTTCTCTTCTTCAGCATGAACATCCCCAACTTTCTCAGCCTGTCTTCATATGAAAGGTGCTCCAGTCCCCTGATCATCCTTATGGCCCTCCTCTGGACTTCCTTTAACAGTTCCATGTCCTTTTTATGTTGGGGACACCAGAAGTCTACACAGTACTCCAAGTGAGGTCTCACAAGAGCAGAGTAGGGGGTCAGGGTCACCTCCTTTGACCTGCTGGTCATGCTCCTTTTGATGTATCCCAAGATACGGTTGGCTTCCTCGGCTGTGAATGCACTCTGAAGCTGGCTGATGTTAAGTTTCTTATTGATCAATACCCCCAAGTCCTCCTCTGCAGGGCTGCGCAGAATTTCTTCTTTGCCCAGTCTGTATCTGTGCCTGGGATTCCCCCAACCCAGGTGTAGGACCTTGCACTTGACTTGGTTGAACTTAATGAAATTGGCATCAGCCCACCTCACAAGCATGTCAAGGTCCCTCTGGATGGCATTCCTTCCCTCCAGCGTGTCAGTTGAACCACACAGCTTGGTGTTGTCTTCAAGCTTGCTGAGGGCATATCAGATCTTGTCTGCAATTAGTTATCCAGAAAAGTAATTATGCAACAAAATCAAGTACTTGAGATTAGTTATATGAAGCACCTTGGTTATTCAAAACCTGTAGGAGAAGATTTTTTTTTTTTTTTTACTTGTTACATGGAGTTTCAAGCACCTAACTTTTCATTACATTTAAGAAGTCTTGCTCAATTGTGATTCTTGTCATTACTCATATGTACAATAGAAGATCCATTCCACATGAAACAGGTGTTTGACCAAGTTTGTTTTGTATAAAGTAAAAATGATAGCTGTAGAGAATGTCTTGCAAGTAGTACATTAAAAAGCTAATCTGTTTTGTTTAGGTGGGAAATAGCCTCAATATCATTCTTTTGTCCCTTTTACTAAGAATGTAAGTTTAATTGGAGAGCAGATATGAAATACTCTAAAGGTCAAATTAATTATTTTTTTAAAAAGTTATGATAAATGTAACAACTTAGATGATGTGAAAGGTTAGAAAAGCCATTAAAATATAATTTACGCTAATAGAAGTAGTTAACCTGCATTAGTTAGCTCAGATGTTCAAAATAAGTAAGAAAATGAATAAATAAAAAAAAAGGTATACGTATCCAATGTAACAGACTTTAAGTTTAAACTCTCACATTGTGTTTAACAGCTTATGGATACCGTGAAACATTTATTTATGCTATCATTATAAGCCTGATTATTTGTAAGTGGCTTCTAATATTAACTGTTGTCATGTTTATGCCAGAACTAATAGGAAAATTAATTCTAATCTGTAGATCTGTACAGAGTTTAATCTGTATGTGTATAATATTTAAAAATCTGAAGTGATAAAGGGTAGTTGATTAGTCATGTTACTTAAGCGGGTCCCAAAATAGCAGCTTCCTTTTTTGGTAGAGTTAGGTTTGCAGCTGTTGTCTCTATCTGTTGTCTCTGAAGAAAATTTTAACATTAAGAGTTGCTGACGTCAATTTTTTTCTTTTTTTTACAGCTGATGTGGGCTTTGCCCCTGACAGAAGTTATTTGGTTCTAGCTCTGAGTTTGGAAGAAGTTGGTATATAGATTTTCCCCTAACTTTCAATTGATGTGTTTAGCTTTAGTGGGAGTAATACTATCACTTAAACCATGTTGTCGTCTCAAGGAGTTTTGCTACATCCATATGGAGTGCCAATGATTCTGCCGGCAGCACCATACTTCGCTGGACTTGTTCAGGTAATGCAAGGCCGCTTCCAACAAGCAACTTAACTCTAGTGCACTTAGAGTAATAATTGGAATTTTTATGGTTGAGAAAGCAAACACTTTTAATACAGGCAAAAGCTCTCATGTAGTCAGTGAGAAGACAGTAGGAAATCAAAAAGATGGATCACCCTAATCTGTGTATTGACATCTCTCATGGCTGAATAAATGGTGTAGTTGAGCTATATTTGCTTGTATTGATTTGTCTGCTGTTTAACATTCATGCCTTTGCTTCACGAGGTTGACCACAGGGCAGAGGATTTGCTATCCATTCTAGGTTTCTGAGGGAGTCAGCATTCCCACGGCAGGTCATAAGACAAAGTAACTTACCATTTTGTGTTTAGGTTAAGTGTTTTAGCATAGCAAATATGAATAGTGTTAAATATGCATTAATTCATATGTTATGTGTCACACTGAATAAAAAAGGGTTTTTTTGTGTGTGTGTATAGAAATCTATCACCTTCACAGAATATTTATGCAATCATATGAATTCTTTTGATCCCTGAAAGTGTAAGATTTTGCTTCAGGGCAAGAGTTCTGTATTTTAGAAATTAACTGGCAATTACTAGATTTAGTTGATGTTCTGTTGTCTGGTTTTATTTTTATCAGTAAGTGGTACTACTGAATTACCTGCCGCTAGACTTCAGGTTTTGAATAGGTCGTATAGATGCTAATTAAGGAAAAAGTTATTGTTTATGTTATTTACAATGTTAGAAGACATTAAGAAAGAATTCAAGTACCATTTCCAAACATTGACAAAATTAAAAAAACGGTGTACCCTATAAATGGCAGTGGTTACATATTGTGCATGAGCAGGAATGAGACATGCGCACCCATATTACAGCATTTCTGTGTCATGCTAGTGATCAGTCAGATTAAGGGTGGAGGAGAGGCAAATTTTCATTATACTCCTTTACTACAACAGTTAGCTGACAGAGGGGCAATCGCACCACGAATACAGGGTTTTTTCCCATATAGGTCCCTTCAGTAATCAACATCTGTGTTCTTCACTTTAGGCTTAATATTAGATGCAGATGTCTAAAATAGAAATATAGCATTGCACAGTGGCCATTATCCAATATCAAAAAACTGTCTTCTGGGATATGAAAGCTGGTGCTGCTTTTTTATGCAATGAGACACAGCAGCACACTTGAACACATCAAGCAGGCCTTCATATCCATTAGAATTTGGGGGTGAAGGTCGGATGCTGGATCTCAGTCAGACCCTGTGCCATCCTGTCCAATAAATAATTACAAGCAAATCGTGCCTTTCACTCCATGCTGATTGATGTTGAAATTGCTTCTGAAAGTTCTCATAAGTTCCTGTTATAGATTAAGTGCCGGTGTAGGAAAAATAACTGCACCCAACTGTAATGGGTGAATGTAATCAGGTTTAATGGACTCGAGAGCTTGTTGGGAATTAAATAACTATTGATTTGTTGGAAAGTTGCTGTCATTACAAAATGCCACTCTGGATGCATTATCCAAGCAGATAGATTAGAAGAAAGGCCCCTTTGAAAATTCAGGATGCCTTATTTCAATCTTTTTTTCTTTTCTTTCATTAGAAAGATGTATCTAGGCCTATGCTACTCCATTAGCATAGGTCTAAAATAGTCAAGCAATCAGAATTGTTCTACAAAAAAAATTCATGTGTTTACAGGTACAGTTGAATAGTGTTCTTTGTATGGATACTTCTCTAGACTGTTCTCTCCCTCTCCCTAATATCATACCTGAAAATTGCATTTTGGAAACAAAAGATTTGAGTTACTGTCTTAGTGGATGAACTAGAACATTAAATGGCTTAACCACTTTCTCACCCCAAGTTTTTATGTGCGTTTGCAGTATCTAGTCAGCTTATGGTCTAGAATGCTTATTTTTTGTCTCTTAAGAGTAGACCTTAGATAGGCATATTTATATCATCCTCTTGTAAGCAGTAATTACATAATGTTCAGAACTTTAATAGAAATTTTCTTCAAACATATGCCTTGATAAACTGACTATGCAAATGTTTTTGCTGGGTTGCAGGTTGAGAGACACAACCCTGAAGTATTTTCTAATACAAGGCAGTTTTAACATTTTAAGAGACAAGATTGCAATTTATTTGCATGGATTTCTGCAGAAAGTAGATGTATTTCTGATTAAGGATTCCCCATGATTTCCAACTGGATTTACACCAAGATGGCATATAAGAACAGCGTAGAATACTACACAGGGATGTGGGGAACTTTTTATTTTTTTTCCATGTTTTATGTTTCATGGTTGAGCAGGAGAGAGCTCAGATCTCTCTGGAGGACTGCTTGTCTTCAGGGGTTCTACACCTTCAAGTACTGTATGTGATTTTACTTTATTCTGTGTATGTGCAGCCTTTTCCAGCCTCTCCTCCTAAATCCATCAGCAAACTCTATCTTACCTCCTCGTATTGCTTTTGTCACACCTGCTTGTTGCAGAGTACTGGAACGTGTGAAACTTAGAACACACAAAAAAGGGCATGTACTGTGGATACATCTCTAGAAATGCTTAAGATAAACAGCCATGTGTGTTTTCCAATTGTCTGTATTACTAAGATTTATATTCCTCTTCCTCAGATCATATGTGTCGTGGTTTAAGCCCAAGCGGTAACTCAGAACCACGCAGCTGCTTGCTCACTCCCTGCTTTCCTGCCCTGAACTCTCTCTTACCCTCCCCACCCCCCCCGCAGTCTTCTGTGCTCCCAGAGGGATGGGGAGGAGAATCAAAAGAATGTAATTCCCACAGGTTGAGATAAGAACAGTCCAGTAACTAAGGCATAACACAAATCACTACTGCTGCCACCAGTAATAATAATAAGGGAAATAACAAGGGAAGAGAATATAAAACTAAGAGGGGAAAAGAAAACAATAAACACAAGTGATGAACAATACAATTGCTTACCACTTGCCAACCGATACCCAGCCAGACTCGAGCAGTGATCTGGGCCTTCCAGGTAATGTAATTTCCCCCAGTTTATATACTGGGCATGATGTGCTGTGGTATGGAATACCCCTTTGGCTAGTTTGGGGCAGGTGTCCTGTCTCTGCTTCCTCTCAGCTTCCTATGTCCCTCCTCACTGGCAGAGCATGAGACTGAAAAAGTCCTTAATGAGAGTAAATACTACTTAGAAAGAACTAGAAACATTGGTGTGTCATCAGCGTTGTTCTTGGGGCAAAGTTGAAACCACAGCACTGCACCAGCTACTGAGAATGAGCAAAATGACTGCTACAGCTGAACCCTGGACAATACATTTCAGAGAGATTATGAAAAATGGAATGCATGTGTTCCTGAAGAGAGAGGAGGTAGCTGTTCAGAGTTACAGATATGTCAAAATGTATCAAATTATATTCAGTATGTTTGCAAACTTAGTTTTATTTTCCAATAAACAAATACACCTTCAAAAAACTTATTAGAATGATGGCGTTATTATTGCCTGTGATTTCTTAACAGTTTTTTTTATAAGAGAAATAAAATATCTTCTCCCTTCTTCCTTCTGGGTGAAACTGTAGGAGGAAAAGATCACATGAAAGTACAAATGATGCATAAATAGCATTATGCCTCGTGGGTGGAGACATGTTTTCTGACTTTTCGCAAAAGATGTGCTGGTGGCTTAGCAGGCTGTCACAATTACGCTTCCATGAGGACCAAGGCAGGTACTGCAGTCCAGCAACTGCATGTGCTGTGTGCAGCAAGGCCTCCTTTGTGGGCAGCAAGGCTTCCTTGGTGTCAAAACCATCACGCTGTTTCTTCTGGCAGGTGAGTTAAGAAAAATGTCATAGAGGATTAGGTGGCGATCTAGTGAAAGGCTTCTTATCCTGCCCTTGGTTCATAGCCCAGTTTTGTCATTTGATTCCCATGAGAGAGCCCTTATGTCCCGATGAGAAGTTGGTAGGGTGTGACGTCAAAAAAATCCATCTGCAGTGGCCAGGGTATGGGACCCTTGTCCTGTTGCCCAGAATTGTGGCTGTGTGCTACTACACCATTTTACACATCTTTACAGTAAACAAGTGAAAGGAAGCTATCATTAAAGTGCAGCAGCAAGAAAACTTTAATATTTCCTAAGAGTAATATGTTGTGTAGGATAATAAGTTAAATGTCTCCATATTAGCTTCATATTTAGAATCATAGAATCATAGAATCATATAATAGTTAGGGTTGGAAAGGACCTTAAGATCGTCAAGTTCCAACCCCCCTGCCGTGGGCAGGGACACCTCACCCTAAACCATATTACCCAAGGCCTTGTCCAACCTAGCCTTGAACACTGCCAGGGATGGAGCATTCACAACCTCCCTGGACAACCTATTCCAGTGCCTCACTACCCTAACAGGAAAGAATTTCCTCCTTATATCCAATCTAAGCTTCCCCTGTTTAAGTTTTAACCCATTACCCCTTGTCCTACCACTACAGTCCCTAATGAAGAGTCCATCCCCAGCATCCCTATATGCCCTCTTCAGGTACTGGAAGGCTGCTATGAGGTCTCTGAGTGGCTTAGGTATATAAATTCTTTGCACTTACTCTGGATATATGGAGTATAAGGATTATGATAAAATATTTTAAAAACACAAATGTCATATCCATTATCTAGTGCTTGTTGCTGAAGTATTACATGGCTGGTTCACGTGGCTTGATTTCCATTTAGCAGAGAAAGAATAGTTCACATGCATTACTATGAAAATTATCGAAGTTGAAATTACTTAGAATTTTTGGTAAACTAATGGAAAACTCTAAATAGATAGTTCTAGGTAATACAAAATGAGCTACTTAAATTTCAGAAATAAAAAGATGGGTAGTGTTTTTGAATATGGTTAGTATTTTTTAAAGTATGCTTTTATTTTAGCATGGTCACCAAAAAAGCTTTAAGAGTTCTGAGAGTTTAAGCTCATGTTCGTTGTTAGACTTCACCCAGCTAAGTTAAACCCTTTTCTTCTCCTTTCATTTGCTGATTTATTTGTGTGGTGGAAAAGGGGA